CCTGCTGAAGGAAAAAGCAAAATTTCCCCAGGTATGTTTAGGAACTGCTCCAGACCTGGTATTCCCTGGGTTGAGCAAATCCAATACCCTATGTGCGCTTCTTTCAGTCTCTCATATAACCTTATTCCAAAGGGAAAAATCTTCCATGGACTGTTATTGATCCAAGTATCCAAGCAGAGAATCTTGGCACACCACCATTTGCCTCATGGCCTGTAGGATACCATGTTCAAAGCATTTTACAACCAGACAGGAACAAACCATGTCTCCCACGTAGCTGTAAAGTCTTCCTGTCTGTCTGTTTAAACAGAGCAAGCAACACACACTAAAACTGGAGGTATTCCAAGAACTAGCCACACTGTCCCCTCAGCAGGCAATGAGACCTCAAGGAAAAGAAAACTCTGTTCAGTGAGATTTAATCACAGAAAGCTCAGAGAACAGCTAGGGGCTATTAATAATGGATATGATTTAAAACTCAAAACTATGCATCAGCTCTAGGCAGCAAAAAGCTAGTACACATAATGCCAAGATGGTTGTCCCAGCAGTGCAAGAATCGGAGAGCTCTGACTGGTCTCTGGTGACTGGTGTCAGCCTTAGAGAGGAACAGAGCATCTGATTAGGAGACCCACCCTTCTATTGCAGAGGACTTAGTGTTGCCAAGAGCAATTGGCATGGGGGTAAAACAAGAAACTACATCAGGCAACTGAGATGGGAGTTCCCTGCAGAACAGCTGTACTTAACTAGGAAGCAAATGGCTGCAGTGCAAGATGGGGGTGCACATGTACTTCTTCCAGTTCTAAGGGAGATGCAGGGCACCATCACAGCTACTTACTGGGGTTATAGCTCCACAGACACCCATCGGTTCATGCCTGGTGAAACAGACAAAATTTTCATCTGCAAGACAAAAGAATGAAGGAAGACAAAACAGTCAAAATCCTTGCTTCTATGGAGAGTGTAAGATGACTGCACAGTAACAGGCTGGGGACAGAACTAAAGCCATATTAGACAAAGAACCCTGTATCTGTTCGTCTTAACTCACGCCTCTGGGACAGGCCAGGTGGATGAAGATCTGTTTGAGAATGGGTCTTGTGTTAGCTCAAAAACCAAACACTGCTCACATTCACAGAGGAGCCTTTTAAAACCAGGGGTTCAAGTCCTTCTGCAGTCTCCCCGCATGGAGGCTAAGGTGAAGGATAACTCCTTACCACACAGAAGAGCACGCACAGATTTAATTCAGATTGTGTCTCACTGAAAGAAGCAAAGCACTTGTTTCCCTGAGGGGGAGAGTTTTTAAACCCACTTTGTACAGGAACCATATTCAGTGTTACAGGAATTGCACTTCTGGTAAGAACTCAAAAAAAGATGAAACTCTGGGAGTAAGCTGATACCATTCATCTTAAAATACCGCTATTACTCTTTCAAAGAGAAAGCAGGAAGGACATTTTCCTTACAAATTCATTCTTGCCAAAAACCTAGTTTCATTGGGAAGATCTGACAGAAAACACAAACATTCCTAATTACAGTTTTTGGAAGTGATCTCAAATTAGGACCAAAGAACAGTGTTCAGGCAAGCAAAGTTTCATGTCACTCTGAGTGAGGGTGACAGATCTCAGTTTATATGACTGACATCGCTCCCTTTGCTGACTGCGCAGACTGAACTAGTTCAGCCCTTCAGAGTCCTCCCGCTGGTGACTAACTTTTGTCTGCAGTGCCTGTCCTTTGTGCAGCCTCAGTAATCACCCATGTGCAGTGAAAAAATGGGCTGATTTTGAAAATACACCATGTTGCTCACTGTGTCACACGGACATCCACTGTCTTAACTTGTTCTCCCCAAAACCGTATTTGAACTTCTATAGCTGAGCCAAAGTGTTCACTCTGTCCCTGCCACAACAGTGCAGTGTGATGGCTCTGGCTCTGCAACATTTTGAAAAATCTCTTTCAAGTGTCAGAAAACTTGACAGAATCCCTCCAAGAGCTCAGTGCTTTGGCTCCTGAGAGGGGTCAACATCTCAGACCTTCTCTTTAATAAAAGTTAGGAAAGAGCACTACACGATCTCTCTAAACTTCTGTGGGATGCAGGGACGCTGGAATGTCAGTGAGGTGGGAGACATCGGTAGATTGCACATCAGCCTTCTCCCACATCCCTGTGGCATCTAGCACAGCACAAGCTCTGCTGCCTTCATACAGTCCTCCCCGGAAACTTTCGTCCTTCCACTCTCTGGCATCTTTATTCATTTCAGTGATACCTAATGAATAAACTCCCCTATAATGTGTGAGGTTTTTTCTTTAAGAATTAGTCTGAATTTAAAACCGTAAAGGTTTTTCTGTTACAAAAGCAGTAAAATAGCCCTCCATTATTTTCCAGAGATCTATCCAGGCATTCACATTGTTCTCCTATTAGCTTAAATCTTGAAACACATCTAATTAAAATGCATCCTGAGGTAGAAAGGAAATGCACGCTATTTTTGCAGGTTTTCAGAAGGTGGCCTTTCCATGTATCTCCCTCCCTCCCTGATCCCATCCCAGCTCTGAAACTGGGTCTGAAGGAACTTACCCACTGGGATGGTTTTGCCCTGAATTTTATCAGCCCATCCAGCGTAATATCGGAGCGTTTTTATACAACCTTCCAGGTCGATGAAATAAGCCTGCAGAAAAGGTTTGCCTGTGTCCATTGTTTCCAGAGTCTGAAAAAACAAATTGCATGCACTGTCAGACAAGTCAATGTTTCTTTCTTAAAAAAAGCTTTCAGAGAAACTCCTCAATTTTATTTTGCCTTGTGCTGCAGACAGAGGGTTTCCTTCCCTCACCTTACATTTAAGAAATGAGCTTGTTAATACAAATAAGGCAGAAGGGAGACTAGACCCAATAACCCTGATGTGTAGAGAAGTAGCTTTGTTCAGCAACTGCAATGAAAGCATTATCTTCCAGAAGCCCCCAGGAGGGCCTGTGGGTGGAATACAGGGCTGTGCTCTGGGGCACTGGTCAGAAATGATGTGAGTGTCATGACTTCACCGCAACTGACCCTCTGACACAGATGTTCTGGATTCCAGATGGTGTCACTGAAATCAGTCAGACTCACTTTCCTTTTATTTGGAAATCTCTTTTTTCTGCTTCGTAGCATTAAAACCAACCTCTGAAAAGCCTCTTTTGTCCACAGGATGATAGAAAACACATTTTTTACAGAGTTCTGGTAAAGTAACCTTTGGGCCCAGATCTGTGCTGAGACTAAGGCAAGGAAGAAGTTGCTTCACTAAAGCTGCACTGATGCTGAGCAGCTCTAAATGAAGTCCAGTCTCGGCCTGTGTCCTTCTCACTGTTCTGGACATTAGCTCAGCGAATGCTTTGTTCTCTACTCAGGTCATTAAATGGGATATTGATGCAATGGCCAGCACATCCATAAAGGAAGTACTATCCCTTGGTAGACTGAAACATCTTTGTTTACATATGAAGTCATACCCTGTCATCTTCCACAGACATTAGGGTCCAAACAGCACTCAAACAGACATTCCCCTTGGAATGACTAGGATTGTTATCCACTCTGAACGTCTGCTAAAACAACTGATTTTTATAAGTCATTACTTAGCACGCAGCCAAAGCAGCTATGGCTGGCTTTCTGCAGTGAAAATAACAATGCCAAACAAGCCCTCCCAGATCAGGAGGACAGCAGAAAGCTTGAAATGAGTGTCCTGGTTATAGGAAAAGGAGGGTTCTCTCAAGTCACATCAAACAGTGAGCAGAAAATGAACAGGGTATATTCACACATATGTGTATTTCCCACACCCCCCCCCTTTTATTTGCTGCTGAAACTGGAAGCTGTCATACAGCTAAGAGACACTGTGTTGGGGAAAGAGACTCAGCTCAAAACAGTCATGTAAGTGCAGGCTCCTAAGCACATCCCGTGCATGTTAAGTCCTACTGACTTCAGCGGGACATCAGCTCAGGGACTTACACATCGAACAGCGCTAAATGTCATAAATGCCATTCCCCTCAAGATAAGCAGAGCCAAAGTACAGCATTGAACCAGTGAGTGCTCAGGTTCAAGCTCTTAGGTATGGACTGACAGCAGCTCTAAGCTGAGAGATGCTAGGATCGGTGTGCACACTTTGGAAAGGTGTCCAAGGCCCACAGAGCCTAAAGGCTTCCACCAACTGCAGCACATTTTAGCTTGGGTCCTACTCCCCTCGCTCTGCACCAGAAGGACTCCTTCTGAACGGGATGGGGAATCATTAGCAATAGTTCTTCCATGCAGAAGTCCAAGTTAACACAGCTTGATGGCTATAAAGAGGTTTTCCTGAGCCAGTACGTTC